TGGTATTTTTTTTTATCTAATATCCTTATTACTAGTTTGAAAAGTTTACATAGTAGTAGTAATAGTAGTAGTAGTGGTAACAGTAATAAATTTTTCATGTTTTATTTTTTAATTAAAAAACTATTAGCTTGTGTTTCACATATACCAGCGAATAGGCATCATGTGCACCATCCATTGTCTCCCTAGATACATAATCATGCCTTCTTCCATATAATAAGGTGCGTGTAGGCTAATAATTTTTGAATTGTCATCGGCAATCAATTTTTTATGTTTTTTCTTTATTAACAACTAAAGTACATAATTATCCTTTTTGTTTGTTATTTGTCAATTTCAATCATCATTATTTGAATTTCTTATTTTATCCTTATTCCTTTTATAGAAGTATTGTTTTTTTTTTTAATTTTATTCTTCAATTATAATTTCTTATATGTTTTTTTTTCATTTTAGTCCTCATTTATTAATTTCTTATTTTTTTTATTTCTTTTATAGTTTCAGTACTTCTAAATCCTTCTCTATTTTTTTGTTGGTGTTTCAAAATCCATCAATTTTTTTTATTTTGGTCATTTTTTCTTTTGTTTGAGTTTTATTTGTTTACAATTTAGTCATTCAAATCTAATTTGTGTATATTATATTTTTTAATTTGATCCTTTTACTTTTGATTTTTTTTCCTTGGTTCTTTTTTCAAAGTTCTTATAGTTTTAATTTTATCCTTGAAATCAAATTCATAGTTTTCTTTTTAATTTATTAATAATTATATTAATAATATTAATGATGATGATGATGCTGATGATAATATAATAGTATAATAATAATTAATAGTAATTATGATTGTGATGATGTATTTAATATCCAAAATTACTGGTTTGAAAAGTTTGTTTCACATTCATATATATATATATATATATATATATATATCATTTAAAATAATTATTTTTAAAAGTCATTAAAGTTTCTTTTAAACCTATTAAATATGATTGAATAACTGAAACAAGAAAAACATTAACTAGTTGTAAATTAAAAAAATGTTGAAAAGTGTAGTTGCGGTTGTTTTTAAAAGTATTTTTTACTTAAAAATAGATCAAAATAATTTATTTTTAATATTTAGTTTATCAAAATGATTTAAAAATACTAAAAAAAATATTAATTTAAATAATAAACTAAAAAATTTTAAAAAAATATTTTTAAAATATAAAATCAAATTAACCGGACATAATACTAACTTGACTACTCAACGCTGAATCCAATCTCAGCTTGAACCAGAAGCACCTCTATGCAGTCCTAACGCGACACTAGAGCACTTTGAATCTTGTCCTAGCTAGATCCTAGCATCTTGGACCCATTCTCAAGCTCCCACTATGATCATGACCCACCTCCTAAAACAATGGCTATTCAGCGTGGAAAATAAAAGTTCCCAGAACTTTTTAAAGTCTTTTTTATTTTCAAAAGATTTGACAGTTTATTGTCAATTTTTGTATATTAAAAATAAAAAATAAAATCAAACAAATTTCATAGGATCTTCATTTTTTTTAACAAAAAAAAACATAAACAATACAACACAATGCTTTAGACTCTTGAAAAGTCAACCTAATAATAAGTGATTCCAAATTCTCCAACTCAAGGAAACATTGTAAAGAATTCACCTATTATTTAGTCCTCCTGTCATTCATTATTTTTAAATACAATCCAGACGACAGGCATGCTTCTTTTCTACGGTAGTTAATTTATAAGTTTCTTTCACAAGTTTATAATAAAAGAATAATCACAAACAAGGAGAGACCAGGATTAAAATAAAAATAATCCGAATAAAATTTAACTATCAAATTCTTACCTCATCAATTCCTAATATCAAAATAAAATAAATTTTAATTAAAGATATAGTCAGGTCACATTATAAATTTATTTTTAAAAAATTATTAGTTAGAATTTCAAGTTTTATAAATTTTAAGGTCATTAAAATTTTTTAGTATTATTAACTTTAAGATCTTTAGAATTAGTTGAGATATATATAAATTAGTTTGAATATCTATATTAATAAAAAAATCAAATAAGTTCTTCTCACGTAAAAATAGAAAAAGAAAGAAACCTTTCACGCGTCATTGAGTTATTTTATTCAAATAACTTTACAAATATAATAGATTCCATGGAAGTGAAAAAAGAGAAGGAAAAACTTTGCAATTGAGCTCAGAAATTCTAGAAGACTGTAACGTAATCTTAAAAAATAAATTTCTTCACAAATAATTCTTCTGTAAACCAGAGAAGTGGCGGTTTTCTTTGCAAATATCACTTTAAGAAATCTATGATACACTGTCACCCAAAAACAAATCATGCTCTACCGTCCATATCAATGGCACATGGTGTATCCAAGTCGTTGGGTACCCTTTGACTGTATCTCAAATTTAGGGTTTGCTTGTTTTATAGAAAATATTATTTAAAAAAATATTATCCTCATTTTAATGTGAAAGAAACATTATAAAATAAGTTACTAAAAAAATATTTTTAATCAAGTTTAAATTCCTCATTTTAATGTGAGAAACATTATAAAATAAATTACTAAAAAAATATTTTTAATCAAGTTTTGAATTTATAATATTTGTCAACATCATTATCATTTATCATCATAGTTACAATTTCATTATCAATCATAATTCTTAATATAATAATTATTTTATCATTATCTCATAACAACTCTCAACAACTATTTTATCATTTTCTCATAGTAATTCTTAACAAATATTATCATCATTACCGATCCACAAGTAACCTTATAGCCAACACTATCTTCATGAAAATCACCATAATAATTTTTTTTGTTATTACTATTATGATTATAACAACAAATATTATTTTAGGATTACCATAATTATTATCATTATTAATAATATTATAAATATTAAAATCATTATCTTTATCGTAGGTATATATTGCTATTCTTCTCATCTTATTATAGTAGTTCAAAACCCATGAATAAAAAATAATTTATTTTCTACAAAAATATTTTCTTGATGCATCTAGATAATAGAAAATAACCTAATTTTCATGAAAATAAAAATGAAACATTTCCTAGAAAAATAATTTCTAGAAAAACAAGTTTTTTTTTTTACTAAAAGAAACTTTAGGCCGGGATCGGTTTAGTTGTTCGAATAAGAACATTTCTTATAGCGGGGAAATAGCAAATATCGAAAGAGAGGGGGGTTTTATTTGCATGCAATGAGTATTGCGGTTAGGCATTCCAGCAATTGCTCCGAATATATTAATATAACATCAGTGGTATACTAATTTATTCTCTACCCTCCAATTTTGACGAGTACAGCTCATATATGTTTTGACTAAGGTTAGGCTAACTGAACTCAGGTTATTTTCACAATTCACATTTTTTTCTTAATGTTGTTAATTCCAGTCCTATACTCTTAGTCCATTAAGAATTCAGTCCCTGCATCATTAATATTTCCATTTTCTGTCAATTCATTCCCATTCTTTTGTTGTTTTGGACTTCTATTCAAGGCTACAATACCGGGTTATTTCAAATTTTTTTATTTTTTTATTTCATATATAAAGTATTCTTCTTCTTTTTTAAGAATCAAAATATCTCAAATAAATACAAGATAAAATCTACTAAATTAAAATATTTATGAAAAGAATTATAACTTGCAATGATTATCAAAAACATATATATATATATATATATATTACAAAAATATTTTTGAACAAGTAAGTTTTTAATAAAGTTGTTTTCTACTAGAATTAATGTGATTTAAAATATATAAGACAAGTTTTTCGGTTTATATTTAGCCAAGATTTGTAGAATAAACTGAAATTAGAAATAATATAAAAGAATTAATATGATATGAAATTTACCAACTATTCTGATTTAACGGAACGAAATTGAGAACCTTACAGTCTTAAATTATATTAAAAAGAAAGTTGTTAATGATGGAGGTGGGCACAATAAAAATAGAAGGATGGACATAATAAAAATATAAATAAAAGGACTATCTAGACACAATAAAAATATAAATAAAAGGACTATCTAAAGAAAATGTTAGCCGTAGATGGACTCCATAAAAGAATTAATCCTCGGGAGGAATACGTTTTCTTTATCTCTGCCTCGTCGACTTTGAAAAAGGTTCCTTTTTTTTTTAGATAATATTTTAAATTGTTCTCCAAAGAGAGACTATTTCCCAAATAATAATAATAATAATAATATACACCAAGTTAAGTGTTCCTATGGAGTGGGGAACCATCAATGTTAGCACAATCAAATATGATTTGAAGACCATAAATTATTGATAATAAAGCTATGCGACAAAACCATGAATAAATTTAAATTAATTACGAATAGAAGTTAGCTAGTGGAATTGGTAATGCTATGCGTGAATTAAGTCATCTAAATAGCATTTGAATACTGTCTCAGTGTGTGTGTATATTTATATATATAAATTGAAATAACAAAGATATAAATAACTTGTTTTCATATAATTCTAGTTTAAAAAATACAAAAATTTATTTTAAAATTATCTAAAATATATATTTGTTATCATACAATTTAGATGAAATGGATTTTGGTTACTGTAAATCCCATCAATCAAATTTCTTTTCTTTTTTTTTTCAAATTAACAAATTATATACCTAAACTTTCCCATCTAATGGTCGAAGACATCTCAATTCCTGACCCAATACAATTCAAAATCAAACAGAGATAGCTCAAAGAAATGAGAACACGAGAAATCTGATAAATAAAAAATAAAAAGTATTCCATGCAAGTCTTCCATTCCAGAGTAAAAGAAAATAACCCGTCAAAACGAAAAGCTAAGAATAGTATAAAGGAGGGGAGAGATGACAAAGAAAGAGAAATCAACGCGTTCCTTCCTGTGAGAAGCCACACTTCAACGCCACGAGGCAGCTTCGAGGTCACTTTCTTGAACGAGTCAATAAGATGAGCCGCCGAGCGAGTCAAATAATCCGCTAATGATTTGTTTTTCTTCGTATGGATTCGATTTTCTATTGTCTTCGACGAAATAGCGCAGCCTCCGCGTTTCTTCGGTCCTTCCAGCCCACCTTCTCCTGCCCCTTAATTGCCTCTAAGTTTCTTTCCCAACGTTCATATAAATTCCTCTCAAACCTCTTTCTGCGTCTCATATCCTCTTGTCTTCTCGCTTTCACATACCCCCTCTGAGTTCCCTCCCCAGGCTCCGTTTTTGTTTCTTCTTCTTTTATACTAGTGTGAGAGATCATTATCAGTTTTGAAGATGAGTTCCATGAGATTGCATGCTCTTCCCATCATTGGCTTCATGTTCTTGGCACTCTTGGGGTTTGGTTTCGGTCAAGGCACGGCTCCTTCCCCTGCAGAAGGCCCATCTAATGATGGTAGGCAACTGTCTTGATTTTTTTCATTTCTGGGTACCTAAATGTACTGTGCACTGAGTTATGCCTTGGCTTAATTGGAATTATCCTAATGTTGTTATATGCTGGTTTTTGCTGCAGGCAAGACAATTGATCAAGGAATTGCTTACATCCTTCTCATGCTGGCCCTTGCAATCACATATCTCTTCCATTGATGTATTTTCTCTTAGACCAGTTTAATGTTTTCAAATTCTTTATGTACTCTCTCCTCATATTCCTCTGGAGAAATTGCGGCGATTGTTTTATCTATTCATCTCCTTGTAATATATGCTATGCTGCTTGAGCACTGATCAGAGAAGAATTTTAGGGAAATTTGATTTGCCTCCCTCTAGTTTATCGACTGTTTCAACTGATCTCTTTTTTTTTTTTACAGTAATTATTTCCCTTAATTAGTCAAATTTCATTGCATTTTCAATTCATCTCAATTTTATTTTTTTTACAGTAATTATTTCCCTCAATTAGTCAAATTTCATTGCATTTTCAATTTCTCACAAGCCCATTTACTTTGATAAAAGATGGGCATTTAACTCGCTGGGATGGTCAGTTATGGATATGCATGAGCTTGTTTCGATATATATTAATTGAAATGGGTTTAAAAACCAACATTTACTCTTAATGGTCGTATATGTAATTACAAGTCCAAACTTGCTTGCAACATCAATGAATATATTCCAAACATAAAAAAACTAACAATATAAACATGTATTTGTTAATTCAAATCCTAATAGTCAATATCCAAGATAGCAACATAAAATGGATCATCTGATCCTAATAGTCAATATCCAATTCATAAAAAAACAAAATGGATAAACAAAAACATTTAAAATATAAAAAAATAATTATATGCTATTTTTATGAATTGCATTTTTCTTTTTGTTAAGTATGAACATGAATTAATGAGTTGAATTAATCAGTTGCATGATGCCTTTGAAAATACACCTTCGATTCACTTTTCCCATCATATAGTAAATAATTATACTACAGGTAGTAAATAATTATATTATAGGTAGGGTTAATCTTAAAGTGACAACATATAACTTAAAAATCAAAAATTAAAAATCAAAATATCATGTTTTTTATGTTATATTTATTTGTAAATATGCATTTTTTAAAAATACGAGGCCAAAGCCTAAATTTTACCATTCATACATGTCCAACGCCTATTTCATAAATGATCAAATTGAGGAGTCTTCTATTTTTATGGATAGCCTATTTCACAAATGATTAAATTAAAGAGTCTTTATTTTTATGGATAGCCCATTTCACAAATGATTAAATTAAGGAGTCTTTTATTCTTATAGACAGATGTTGATTTTTTTTTCTTGAATGAGTTAGTTGAAGACTCCTTTATTTAGGGATTCGATATTAAATTCAATTTAGGGATCGATGTTAAATTTTTTAAATGATTTAATCAAAAAGTCTTTTATTTTTTTATAGATATATGCCAAATCATCTTTATATCTTTATTTCACAACCATAAACTATAACTTGCATTATGTGATTTTAAAAATCCCCTTCTTATAGTTTCCTACTCCTTATGGTTATTTCAGATTTTGGGTCTGGCTAGAATCTAAAAACCATTGATTCAACTTCTAATTCCTCGAACATTCACATTAATCCAGTTTAGGAAGCTTTCAGTCTTGGGCAAGGAAGGGGAAAGATTGAATCTTGAAATACTAAGCCCTCAGCTAACAAGTTCGGGAGGTTTAATGTCCTCTTAGGAAGGAATACTTAACTTCTAAGTTTGTTTTAATCACATGGAGAAAAAAATGGACCATTGAAAGTTAAAAGTCCTTTTTGATAAAAAAAAATATTTCATTCGTGTTGATAAGTTTTATTCTCTAAAAAACAAAGAAAATCATTTAAAAAAATAACCTATTTATTTGTTAGATATCATTCTTTATAACAATGAATCATCAATAACATAATGTAAAGCAAGATTTTTTTTTTTTTAAAAAAAAAGTTGAAACGTTTATGTAGAATCCAACATTCTCTTTTTAAAATAGTTTTTTGTTGTTGGAAAATCCTTTCATTTTTTCTAAAATAAAAAAAGCTAAAATCATGAGACAACCATTTTCTTACAGTCCTAACTAGCGTATACATCATTATTTATCAATAAAATACCTTAAAATTGCATCATGGCATTGAACATATTTTGGGATTTTGATAAAAAAAAGTTCAATTTTCATGAAAATACTCTCAAGATTAAGTCTTCATAATTTCATTTCAACAATTAGACTTGAATAATTATAATCATTAAAATTTACGACATGATCCCAAAACAAGAAGGATGATTTTCAAATAAAATGATAATTGACTAAATTTATAGAGTTCTTGAAAGGAATGATGATAATGATGTGTTTAAGCCTCGTAATGGTTGATGGAATGGTAAATAGTTAAACTAGTTGAGGGCAACTTTGCTTGAAAGAATCTATAATGAAGATAATGTAGGTGTGCCTCGTGATGGCTAATGAAAAAATAAACATGACTAGATCTATCAAGAGTGATTTTTTTTTAAATAATTTGGGATGATGATAATGCATTTTTATCTTATAATTTCAAATGGAAAGATAGACATGATTAGATCTATTGAGGTAGTTTCATGATGATGGTAGTGGTGATGGTGGTGCATGTGTGTTCCTTATTGGTTACTAGAAAGAGACAACTCGATTACTTAGTGGCCATTTTATTTAAAAGAATTTATTGAAACCATACTCTCAAAATGATGATATGAAAAACTTTATCACTTATTGGATGTATAAAGCCAATAACTTTTTTATAATGAAAATAAGCACGATCGAAGGCATAACTATTATAGTCCAAATTTGTGTGATGAATAAACCATACCCATTCATTTATCAAAAGAGAAAACATGATCTTTAAAGGCATTGATAAGTTTTAAGTAAGTCGAAGATCTTCAAAATCTCCAAGAATATTGAGATTTTAAAATGATCAATTTTTGCTTCCCTAAGTAAGACTCCAAAAAAAAAAAAACAAAATAAGTTACTACTACAGATATATCCTTCAACTTTATCATGAATCTTTTAAAAAAAATTAAGAAAGTGAAATTATATGTTAATCTTAACTTTTAATTATATATTTAGCTATATGATTTTTAAATTATTAGATATTATTTTTAAAATGATCCTACAGAAAGAGATCTTTAGTCAAAGCATCAACCTTACATGAAGAGTTCAACCATGCACTAAGAATCCAACCTTGCACTAGAAATTCAACCTTGTGCTAGGAAGTCAACCTTTTATCAAGAACCCAACTCTACACTAAGAATGTAACCTTGTATCAGGAATTCAAACTTGCACAAAAAAATTTAACCTTTCACTAGGAATTCAACCCTTTCTTAAGAATTTAATATTGTGTCAAAAATTCAACTCTACATCAAGAATCCAATCATATACCAAAAGTTCAACCTTTCACCATAAATTCAACTATGCATCAAGAATTCAACCTTACATAAGGAAATCTCTAAAAATGATTGTACTTTTTAAGAAACCATTTTTAGTTAATAAATTTATAAGATGATTATGTTTTTGAAGTTTCTGGTGGAAAAACTTTGAAAATAATTTTTTTAACGCCAAACATTTCATTTTAAACCTGTTGCTTTTAATGAGAAGAAAAGATTTTTGATGACAAGTTAAGTATATCCCTTTTAATGGAAACAAATTTAGAAGCTCATTTTTATTATGGAAAAAATATTTTAAGTCTATCTAATTTGATGATGAAAATATTGTAAGCCACTTCAAACAAGAACTTTTACATGTTTCTTTACTTTTGAGTATTAGAAACTCCAATAAATTTGATCCCGATAAGGGGTTTTTTTTTTTCTTTTTTGAGCCCAACAAAGCTCTAATAAATTTGAGTCTAGTAACACTCCAACAAATTTAATTGAGTAATGTTATAATAATGTTTTAGGACCCGACAAGGCTATATCAAATTTAAGTCCAACAATACTCTAGTAAATTTAAACCTAGTTAGGTTCTTTTTTAACTCGAGTATAACAAAACTTTAATAAATTTGAGTCCAATAAGACTCCAATAAATTTAAACCCAATAAGGTTCTTTTTATTTTGAGCCATTAAGGTTTCTATAAACTTTTTTCTTTTAAGCCCAACAAGACTCTAGAAAATTTAAAACTAACAAGACTTTAACAAATTTCAACCCAATAAGGTTCTTTCTTTTTTTAGCCTAGCAAGTCCCTTGCAATCTTATTTTAGTTCATCAAGACGTTAATAAATTTGAGTTCAACAAAACTCAAACAAACTTGAACCAAATTAGGTTTCTTTTGCATTTTGAGCACATCAAATCTCCTGTTATTATTATTTTTTCTTTTTTAGCCCAATATAGCTTTAATGAATCTGGGCTCAATAAGGCTTTAACAATTTATTCAAATTCAAAATTTCATGAGGTTGGTCACCTTTTAATTTGACCAAATTCAAACCTTTTATGAGATTGATTATCTCTTAATTTAACCCATTTATATTTTAAGTTAAGGTTGATTGTTTTTTTATTTGATCTATCAAAATTTCATGGCATTGGTTATCTCTCGATTTAACTAAATTTAAAATTTCATAAGGTTGGTCGCTTATTAATTTGACCAAATTCAAAATTTTATAAGATTGGTTATCTTTTGATTTGGTCTTTTTATTTGACCAATTTAAAATTTTAAGTTGAGATTGGTCACAGTTAAATAAACCTTTTTTTATTATTTTTAAAACTACTCACTTCTTGATTGGGTTGCTTTTAAAGATCTTTAGATACACCATCTTTTCCTTACAAGCTTACTAAACAAAGCTTATAAAAGAACATTTCTCATGGACTAGGTAGCATTAGCATTATAAAAAGAGGTCAATTTTCATAACCTAAAACTTGACCCATATTTCAAAAAACATTTTAAAAAAAGAAAAAACAATATATATATATATAATGTTTTTTATGCATTTTAGTTATTCACACACCCATCTCGTGAGTCTTAAATATTTTCCTCTAACCAATATCTTTTTGAGAAAATAAAAATATTTGATTATAAAGTGAAATTTGGTTGCTTGCTCCCTTAGTAATTGTGGAAATGAAAAATAAACTAGACTATAAATAGAAGGATTTTTAAAGAGAAAGAGAATTGCAAAAGAGTGTGTATATTAGTCATCATTGGTAAAAGTAAAAAAATCCAAAGAAAATAGAGGGAGAGACAAACTTTTAGATTGAAGAATTGATAAGAAAAAAATATGAAGTGAAAGAAAAGGGAGAGATTTTTAGTGATGAAATAAAGGGAAAAGAAAAAAAATTAACAAAGGAAGAAAAAGAAAATATGGCACCTTCTTT